CTTCAAAGGGCTTCGGCAGGAACATGCATGATTGGGTGCATACCCACACATTGAAAAGCTTTATGGACTTAGTGGAGGCTCGTTGGCACAACCCTCAGCAGGCACAAATTGCCACTGATGGGCTCTTGAGACTTGATACTAGAAAGTACAAGTCTGTGCGAGAACTCACCACAGTCGTAGAGCGCCTGATCGTCGTCCCAGGAGTGGAGTACAATCCACAGGTCTTGTTGACCATGTTCCTGAGATGTCTTCCCACAGACATTAGGAATTTATTAGCCAGCGAGGCTCGCAGAGAGTATCACACTTTTGAGTCATTCAACAAAAAGGCCCTAGACTTAGAGGCTACGCGGGGTGGAGCTACGGATGGGAGAAAGAAGAAGACTCCACAAGAGTGGAAAAAGAAGGGTAGTCGATTGATGATGGTTGATTTCGATGGGAATCAAACAGAGATCGTTGATGTTTTTGAACTTGTGGAGGGTTCAGAGTTTGACGGCGAGGAGAGTGGGTAGCAACCTCGCCGTCGTAGTCAAGACTAAGGCAGCTGGCCGCGGCAAGGGCGGTCAACAAAGGAGTCAGGGGCAGGCCGCTAACCCAAACAAAATAGTTGCTTGGGTTAGAGCAGGTCTGGATCAAGAAGTGTGGCGGGACCGTTGGTCTCGTGGTGCTTGCATCAACTGTGGTGAGTACGGTCACACACAGTTTAAATGCAAGAACCCGAAGGTCTCACAGAAGACCCCTCCTAAGGGTGGGTTCTCTTCTTCTCGATCTGGGGCCTCTACGAGCTCCAGTTCGGGAAACACTTAGGGCTGTCTCTTATACACATCTAGATGTGTATAAGAGACAGAAGGGGAATATTAGGGTGGAGTTGGGGGTCAAAGGTGCAAAATCGAGATAGAGATAGGTGCGCGGGACAGAGGCGCAGAGAGAGCGAGGCAGAGAGGCGTATGCTTAGAGAGGGAGAGTTGCACAGGAGTGAAGGGAGGGAGTAACATAGGGATAGGGGGAGGGGGAGGGGAATACTAGGGTGGAGTGGGAGATCAAAGGTGCGAAATTGAGATAGAGATAGGTGCACGGGAGAGAGAGGCACAGAGGTGTATGTGAGAGAGAGGGAGAGTTGCGCAGGAGTGAAGGGAAGGAGTGAGATAGGGATAGGTGCAAATGAGATTGTTGGCCCGAGAGAGAGAGAGAGAGAGAGAGAGAGAGAGAGAGAGAGAGAGAGAGAGAGAGAGAGAGAGAGAGAGAGAGAGAGAAAGCATTGGTCATGTACCTCCTCCATCAATGCATCACGCATCACATTTGTTTTTGCCGGCGAAGCCGCAACAGGTTATCTAGTCTTGTTGTAATATTCGTAACTTGCTGGTGGAAAGAAACCGGACTGACACGCCACCCCCCCTGTGCTGATCCCCTTGCATTTTACACTGTTTTTTGTTAGTTTGTCTATTTCTAACCGTTTTGTTTTATGGATGGCTTGTGATGATTTGTGAAGGGAATGAGAGAGATAATCTGGGGTCTTTCAAAACAGCTCACACACACATACTACAATTCCAGCCTGCTCCACAAACCACGTGCCAGGCGTGGATCCGAATATTCGGGCATATATCTTACATCGTCCAGGCCATTTCAGTGCTCTTACCTTTGCGGATAATTCATGGACCCTACGGGACAATGGCGGTAGGGTGCACGCAGCGGGAAATATTAACTCTTTCTATCACCAAATGGTGGAGGATCACTTAGACTGGCTCGTCCATCAGGAACAGTATGTCGATGAGCACTTGCAAGCACTGCACCCCCGAGAGGACAATCCGGCTGATTCTACCACAAACAGTGAAGGGACCTCTTCAGAGGACGGTGGCTGTGCTCTCCCTTTGTGTCGTCTCACAGGTACAGGTTGGCATGTACGCAGCACAGCCTCTGCTCCGAACATTATGAAGGGATGGTTGCGGCCAGCCTCTCCCACGAATACTGTGATCCCTGTCTTGTTCTCATCCCCCCCACCCCCTGGTTACCTTCCCAGCATGCCGTTGTGGCCTTGATCTGCCATGCTTAAATAACTGTGCTCGTCAGCCTTCCATACTGATGACATGTCAGCAACATGCCATATGTCGTCAGTGTTTCAGGAAGCTGTCATCTAAAGTATGTCCTTATTGCGTGGACTATCACCGGTGCCATCATCCTCCACATCCTCTCCTAGCATGTCCCACATGCGGTGTTGGTCATACACCTATGGCAACACACGGATCTCCCTTTTCCTTGCCAGACGAACGACAGACACAGCAGCCTGAGGAGGAAAACGGACTTCTATATGAACCATCTGCAGAGCGATGTGCTGATAGTTTATCACCACCAGGACGAGCTGTTGCGGACCCAGTCCTGCAGCAGCTGAACACCTTGCTTTGGGCCGATCCTCCCTGCCATCGCCTGCTCGTTAGAGCAGGAATAAATACTGGAAACCCAAGAAAGATGATCCATGCGGCTTTGTGATGACCTGCCGAAGATTCAACTAGCATGTGGTTCGCAAGCCTTGTGCCATGAGGATTATGAAGGGATAGTCCATGCGAGTTTTTGCTTTCATACCGTACGACGACAGTCAGTACTGTACTTATGTACAACACCCTGACATGTCATGTCCAATCTGTAGACAGGGGCTCAAATGACAATGCCTCTATAACTGCGGTCGATGTGCCTCCATGTTCCTAGCATGTAGGAGCTACGTAGCCTGTGATATCTGTCTGGGCCGCGCCATTCAATGCAGCAACTGTGACTGCGAAAATTGGATGCGGTGCTTCTGTAGTCCACACCCAAACCGGTCCTGTCCGGTCTGTAGGTGTGGCCACTTACCATAGGCAATAGCTGCTCCTCAACTCAAAATCTTATGCAACCCGAACACTAACTAACCTCATGTGCCATTCTAGAGTTCTGCGAAGTTCGTCATACACCTCTCCCCTGCCCTTTGCATGTCATACTCTATCCTTCCCTTCACATATTCTCTCCTGCCCTTTGCCCTTCACCTCCCCCTACCCCGTACTCCTAAAGAACTCTGCCTTCTATCCCTTTCCCTCACCCTCCCCTCCACCCTCCCCTCTTGTGCTACTAGCAAACACATACAAATGAGCATCGTTAAGAGAACAGGAGTATGAAGATCTGAAGAGAAATGCACGGGAGCATACCTTCCCTTTTACCCTGCCTCCTGTTATAACGTGCAAGTGGGCCGTTAAGGCGAAAAGGGATATGGGCAGCTGCCGCTCAACCACAATCAATGTGGGCAACCTTGTATGTGCGAGGCATAGTAAAAGAGGAGCTGTTGCCCCAAAGAAACCCCAACTAAACACAATTCAAAATGGTTCAGTTATGATTCATGTTGCTTGCTAAAGAGGTGAAATAGGGGCTGTTGTGGTGGAAACTTACAACACACACACACACTCTCTCTCTCTCTCTCTCTCTCTCTCTCTCTCTCTCTCTCTCT